ATTAGATCTTATCACCTTGTACTTGTTGGTGAGAGCTATATAAGGGAGAGGAGAACCATTGTTGGTATCGCTCATCTTCAGAGTTTACGTTTCTATCTTCGAGTGAACTTCTCTCTTGTCAAATTGTATATCGTTGATATGATCTCAACGCAAACAATACATTTGGACATTTTTCATTAGCTGAACGATGACTTTGAATGAGGAAATTGACTTGAAAGCCAATCGCGAGCCACGGTTGTCAAAGGCGACGGTAGTCGTGGATGACATACCGTGTAGTTGCGGGTGATGGTAGTCGAGGGCAACGGAAGTCGCAGACGATGGGAATCACGAGTGATGGACGTTATAGTTGTGGCTGACGGTTGTCACGGGCAACAGTGGTCACAAATGACGGATGGTAAGTTGTGAGTCAACGTTTTTTGTGAGTAGTGGACACAGTCAGGCACGGGCGATAGTGAGGGATTGTCATGGATCACAAATGTCTTGAAAGCTAGTCGTGAGTGCAATTAGTCGGGGTCGACCGTGAGTGATAGTCACTGGTGACAGTCAATCGTGAGCATCGTAGATTGTAAGATTCTTGTTACTATGTATGTTTTTTTCAATGATCCGGGTTCATTGAAAGAAGGGGAAAATTCCCATGATCTTTTGTTCTGTTAATTGAAGATTTTTGTTCATAAATATAGGTTTGGGGGAGTTTAATCATAATGTGATTAATGATCAAGATGTGCAAGGTAAAACTTATTCACACTACCGTGAAGCACCACAATATTAGGTATTTTATCAGACAAAAGTGTCTGATAAAATGATTGAGTTAGTCAAGATGAATAGTAGACTCTAGTGATTGACCTAGTCAATCTTGATGGTAAACTCTAATGATTCAACTAGTCAAGATTAACGATAAACTCTGGTAATTGAGTTAATCCATCTTGGTGATAAACTCTGATGATTGAGCTAGTCAATCATGACAGTAGACTTCGATGATTGATCTAGTCAAAATAGATGGAAAATTTAATCTAGTTGATGCGTTAGTAAAAGTTATTTTTTTGAAAGTTTCAGGCGACACAATGCTATTATGTATGTCGTGCAAGAGTAGTAGAGTTTGAGTTTGCTAACATAATATCTACATTTATCTCTTTATATATTTATTCCATCTTGTGATGGCTACGGTGTAGTTATAGTTAACTCTCTTGTAAAGAGTTACCTTGTATTGAGTTTCTTTCTAGAACTTTCTCAGGAGTAATTATATATGTTACTAGATTTATGTTCTCTCTATGCTAGCTGGTTTTTAGTTATATCCTATTATGACTACGGCTTAGTTCTAGTTAACTCTTGTGTAAAGATGTACCTTAGGTTAGGTTTCTATCTCGAATTTCATACGGAGAAATAATGTAGGTTATAGAGTTTACCATTCCGTAACTTATGTTAAGTGTGAGATTGTTGAGGTTTAACTCCAATTAAGTATTAACCTCGGGTCTTAGCTATTTATAGCTAAAACGGTCACTTTGACTGGGGATAAATACCTCAAGGTTCTCCTTGTATTTAAAGTTTTTTTCATGACAAGACCTGCAGTAAAGTGATGAGAGTTTTGGGTGGACGTAGTCATCTCCCCGAGATTGAACCACGCTATTTCTGTGTTGTTGTGTTTCTGTTGGGTTTTACCGTTTACAATAAGCTCTGTAGATAGAATAATAGATTTTTGAAAAAAAAATACGTATCATATATATTTTTGATGTATTTCTTTTTTTTTCCAATATCTGGTCAGAGACAATTGTTATTCATAAACGTATTTTTAACTAATAAATATCCTCAATTACATTCAGAATGAAAAATTAACTCATTTAACATTGAATAAGATTTTGATTTTTAGAAATTTTTACAAATAAGCATATGTTCCAATTCAAAATATTCCTATTCATGCAAACTTTATGTGAGCATAATTTAAATTTGGAATGAAGTTTAGTAAGTGGGATTTATTTTTTATTGTGCTTCGTCTTTTTCTATTCTTCATGCAAGTTTTGTTGATCGTTTCAGTATTTGTAAAGGAAGAAAGATAATAAATTTTAGGTGTTTAATATTCTTTATCATTGATTAAAATATGCAGAATAAAAAAATCTGTTAACTTTGCAGATGATTAAATATAATTGCATTCAGGTTCGTTCTTCCGTTATATATTAAATGTTTTTTAAACAGACAGTATATTCTTCCAACTTATAACCGTTTGGATCATTTGGATGAATCATGAGTTTCTCAACAATGAACCTGAAGTAATGAAACTGAAGTTATATCCAATTAATACTCAACGATGCATAATTTCCCAATACAATCATTCCAACTATATGATTTATATCGCTGATATGTTGTGTGACACTTATGCATAATATCATTATCACCTCTTCGTGGAATTTTGTACACGACCATGCTAGAAAATCCTGTGATGATCTTCATGTTTTGCGATTTTTCCTGGATACAATAAAACGTAAGATATCATGATTTTAGTAGGGATGCTGTTTTTATCTGTAGTTTTTAAAAGTAAGCAGAAACTGCATAATACTAAAGTAACTGAATGTCTGAAATCCATCGACTTCTTCAAACAATGAATGTAGTTTTCTATATGTTGATATTGCATTTCAACCCTTGCTATAATTTAAAATCTAATACTACCTTCCAACACCTAATCTTAAGGAAATCGAAAATTATTTCATATGTCTTACTCAAGCTACAAAGTTACGCTAGAAAAGGCTAGAGGAACCTACAATCCTGAGTTTTGGAAAATGTGGGTTTTGAAAGCGAGTCCACTCTTCGACCAATTTTGATTTGTTTGTATATCAGGGAACAATGGTCGACTGACACGAAGATCAAATGATTGAGACTGGCAATGTTTGGACGCTCAACTCTCAAGCAATAGTTATATAATGACAGCCAACGTGATAATTCCATGACCCGACTTTTTGGCCTTAAATTTGGATTGCTTTAACCACAATAATCATCATTCTCAAGGTTTCAAACGATCCAAGGAAATCAGGGTCCGCTCCACACACAAACGCACACATTCTATTCTCCCATTCGTCTCAATTTTTGACTTCGCTCTTCTTCTATGCCCCACCATTCCTCAATTCCGATATTTCTTGTATGTACACCCAAGATGAATAAGTTCATCACTGGTGATCAAATGTCAATATGCTTCAAATCATAGGAGAACATAGGAGGAAGAAGGAAACCAGAAAAATAGTTAATGCTTTAACAGCGCACACAAAAAGTTCCGTCAAATTAGCATGGGGAAAATCAGAAGCTTAAAAAAATGGCGGTGATAATAGAAGAATAGAAGAATAGACCTTGTTGGCCACATCAGACCAGCACCTCGAAAAGAAAATGGCACATACTGGACGAAACCCAGACCAGAAACGACGACAATGTCACATGCCCAAAGGAGCGACTGCAACAAGAAAAAGCGCGAGAGAATTTGTGCAAGTACCAACTGGAAATCAGAATCCAGTAAGCTAGCGGGGATGGAAGCCATGACCAATACATGCGATGATGACCTGCAATGTTTTCATCGATCGCAGCGGATATATACTCGCGCTATGATAAGCAGTGGACCGAGGAAAAATATCCGTGATTATCGTGATGTATACAACGTTGCGGAAATGTTACTTTAAGATGATTCCTGATAAGTACAGCGCTAGTTGTGAGAGGGCTACTTGCATTAAAAGCCCAAATAAGTCAAATGCTATACTGGTATGGCTTGCATAGGCTTACCTGGTAGACTGTGCTCCGACCTCATCTCATTCCCTCGCCTCGCCCGTTCCCTCCCTCCCTCCCTCCCGTACACCTCAAATGATCTTCCAAGTGACGAGTGTCACATCAAATGATGTTCTGGCGCATATTTTCCCTTTTAAGCTTCCCTGCGGTGTGAGCCGAACCCACTACTACAATATGTCACACATTCCCAGTCTATGGTGTTTGTGTGTGGTTGTGCACTCACTCGCAAATTGTTGAAGCGATCGATGAACTTGAACGTCCAAAGTCTCTGTCCTGTCCAGTGCATTGACGTCTGCGGGCGAGGCCAATCATTTGATGCTCGAGCATTTGCGGGGGATAGGGGAGAGAAAAGTTGCAGGAAGGGCCGATGCATTTCTCTTGAATTACTTCACGGAAGACGAAAGCCCTAGAAGTTTCGTTGATACCCTCGTGGATTTAGTGTGTGATGATAGGGGGTGGGTTTCCATGTTCATTCTTGTTTTTGTGTTCCCCACTGAATGGAAGGGCCATGAATCAAGCCGCCGCTTATGACAGATGCCAAAGGAATAGCTGTCCGTCCGCTTTCCATTAGACCGCTTTTTCAGTAGAATGGAAGGCAAGGCCTGCGACAAGTGCTTTTTTGTGCATAAATGTTCGGTAACGTACACGCATCTTCATCTTACGACGTGTGCAACGCAAGATTCGATTTAAAGAGCCGTACTTTTTCACTAAACTATCCATTTAATCACCGAGATTTGGCGTTGCACTTTGGGCCATGCCTCCTGTGCTCATCTGATCACAATGGGGTTTCACTTGCTACGCCGAGGTGGTTGATGCATTAGAAAACTGCTGCGGGGACAGTGACCTAATGCCGTTTAGATTAGCAGGCTAGAGGACTCGTCTTTATGGCCATAGGCCTCTAATCCAAACAGGATTTATTAGCTGTAAAGTGATCAGAATATGCAGGTCAGAGTCTGGCAGGCGAGGCGTGCCTCGATGTGTTTGGATGAGACTCATGTGTTCTTCGTTTGAGATCGGGTTGACGGCCGAGGTGGATATTTGCCGGTCGTAAGGGGAAATGTTGACCATTTTTGGTGCGCCACTGCTATGCACTAGAAACGTTGCCGTTGATCGTAACTACAAAACAGGGTTTCCTTGGTACAGTGTGGAGAATGTACCCAAGCTAAGCTCTGACAGTAGTTGCGGCGTCTTATTATAAGCCCAAGAGAAGCAACCAAGCTACTGACACTCGATTGTCGATATCTGCACAAAAAGATGATAGCTTTATTGATTGTACAAGATGGTGGTAATGTGCACAACAAGATGTTGAACATATTCAGAAGGACATGTGAGTGGTGTTGGGACGACCACCGAAAGTAGAACTCCACCGAAGTCATTCAAGTTCGGATATGAGTCCGGTTTGACAGCGGTGAGTTGAAAATTTAGAAGGACAGGTGTCGATGCTGCTAGAATCAGAGAGGACAAGAAGGTGGGGATGGTCCAGTCTCTCTCGCAGTCCTACTACAGTTAAATTTGTACGTCAGTAAGAACAGAAGATGGAGCTCCTTGAGACTTGAACCAAGCAGGCAGGCTTGTGGGCGTGGTCCTGCGTCTGTACGAGATCAAGAAGAGGACACGGTTCGAAGACCATGAAGGAGATAATGCTAGTACAGTCGACTCTTAAACGAATTCGTACGAAAGCTAAACTCGAGATACTGGATATACCTCGCATTGATTAATGACTTAACTAAAGATACATAATTTACAAGAGCGCCATACTGCGAGGTTCATTAATTCGGTGTAAGAAAAAAGCATTGGGGGTCACCGTGATCCGCTCGAAACGAAACGCCAGAGCAAACGGTGCTGATCCGGAGATCATTGATTGAGACCGACTTTCGTCTGTTCTTTTGTCCTACACGAGACGCCGAGATACGAAGGATCTCTAGTTTACTCACCGCTTTATTCCGCTCCAAATCCGGTTTCTATCAATTCCAACCGGTAACTTTTCGATTGCAGGGCTGGATGGGGTGTGGTGACAGCAACCTCTAGATCCGTGCTGTAGGTCATCGTGTTCAATGAAGGATGAAGTCCCTTCAGGAGAAGCTTCGTTTTTCATGAGCTGACGCTGACCCTCAAGACCTGGTAACAGTTGTTTGTTCATGCCCGTCGGAGGCCGTCAATTCGCAATCCCCCATCAGATCAGGGCCTTGGAGCAGGCATCATTTGCTTCTTCAACAAAGGCGATGCCGCCACCATGCTGCATAGAAGTCATGATCGAAATCTGATGGTTAAAGCAAAGTAATACCATGAAAGGATTGAGCTACATATGGAAAAGATCAACGTACAGCCATTACACCTACGATCCGAAGCAAACTTCTATGCACAACAGTTGTGCCGCGTGTCCGATCATGGCTAAGTAAGTGGTGATCCAATACTGTACGTAAGTTCCTTCCAGAATAGTCATAGACACAATCTGGAAACCAAGTTGAGTTCAAGTAGAGCAGTTGCAGACTGAAGAAGAAGAAACGGAAAGTACATTCGGTAAACGTCGAACCGTTTGACAACACTCCAATCCGGCAGTCCACATGAAGGGACAGAACCTTATGTCATGACGAAGTCTTTCAATAGGAAGTATAGTACCTTATGTCATGAGGAGTAATCAATATCCACTGCGAGCCTTCCGATGTGGCAAATTGGACCACAGAGTCCAAACTAATTTTTCGGCTAACAGGATCCTGCAAAAAGCAGGAAGCATTCAACTTGTTACACTATTTGCAAGTGAGAAAGAAAGCGACAGAGTGTGCAATACACAAGGCAGTGACATACTGCGGCAAACTAAAACAAGTACTAACTGATGAATGATGTTTCGAGATCCACAGAAAGAATATGTTAAGCCAAAAGGGGCTACTCGTAGGGATCGACATGCCGCAGTAGGATTCATGTAATCTCACCATAAAAATATCAAATTCATCCATCGCACGAAACGGAGCTTCAGTCATCTGATGGACAGCTAAAGCGAAGGCAAGGGTCGAGTATGATCTCTCACCACCTGTGATGCGCAGTACAAAGGAAATGATTGAAACTTAATTTTATCGTCTCCTAGAAATTTCAGTTCTAGAAAAAAGTGCAACTATCGCTACAAGAAGACCATTCTGTGGAAAGTCAGTGCAACTGATTTGTAACTAGCAGACGCCACTATCCTCTTAACCAAATTGAGATTAACCGGAAATCGCTACGTCGCATTTTGATACTTCCAATTGTAAAAAACTAGATCTCGAAAAAAAACATCGTTAACATATTTTAAGCGGAAAATTGTCTAATTCATCGTTGGAAGAAAATCTTGGAAGAAAAACATCATCGAAATTTCTACACTTAGAACGGGACTCAATTTTCTGGAAATCATCCAAAAGCACGACAGTTACCAGAAAGAGCTCGAGTATCTTGCACGGAAGTGTGTGACTCGTCGTGGGGCATCGTCACCTGATTTCGTTTTACAGACATTAGCACTTCGAACGATACGTAAACGGCAGGGGAACAGCTACAATTCAGACCTTCTGCACTTTGTGTGTGGAAATAGACAAATCGTTTCGGATTGAAGGTTGCACTTCGTAATATGGGAGTTGCACTCTCTTCCGACTGCTGGTTTCATAAAAAGCAAAAGCTAAACAAACTAAACTACACCAGTTGAAATTATTCTCAAGTTTGCTTCGTTCCTGTCACTTTCTCAATTTCCGTTTCTTAATTCTTCATATAAACCGTTGATGCCGAGCGTCAAGAAGAATATAATCAGCCCTTACATGTAGTGTGAGAGACCGCTTTTGGTAATCAACATTGACTTTCCCACTAAATCCTTTTTTCCGCAGGTGCTCGTTAAACCTGCAGACAAGAGCCACAAATGTGAAATACTGCTCCGGCAAATATCATTCTGTAATTTATTGCCTCAGATCAAATTGTCTTATGCAAGTGTCGAAGAAAGATTAAGAGTCTACAAGAGAGAGGGCGGCATTGGAAATAAAGTTTTATCAAAGATATTACTGAAAAAGTCAGTACTTCTTACTTCCATGTGAGTTCCCGTTTCTGCATCTGCGCATTTCTATCGAACTTTTTCTTTCTTCTACCCAGCCCCTCGACGAGAGTCTGCAGAAGGCTAAATCATGAGTTCACGTCACAAAGTTTCACAAGCAATAAATGTATAGCACAGGTCGCTCTGCAAACACTGAAAATGACGACCGCTGTAGAAATGTGATAGGCCACGCCAGCGAACTGGATCAGATCAAGATGAATATCAATCACTCTCCACAACACCTAAGTTCTTTCAGTATCGATCAAGTATGAAATGCCAAAAATGGTTGGTGCTTACTTCCAGTTTCCTTTTCAAATTGAGGAACATATCTTCCTTGGACTGTAACCTCCTTTTGATTTTGCTTCCTTTCTTCTTCAACTGCTCGAGTGTATCGCTGTCACTGCCAAAGAAAGCACCGTGAATTAGCATTCGAGGAGTACCACAGGTATATTACTCAATCCAAAATTTAACATACAAGGATCCTTCAAATGTACACAACGTCATCATAATTGTCCACAACTCCCAACTTTAGAGAGACTGGATGGATATGCCCATGTTATTACATGGGCAATTGTTCAGATGCAATAATTGCGGAAAGCAGAAGTTCACACTGATCACATCGTACACATTTTGAGAAATACATGAAAAACAGGGACTACAAAGAGTATCTTACTCTTCTTCCTTCCGGACCCTTTCTCTAAGGCGATTTAGTTTCATGCTCAGCTGGTCAGGTTTCAAATTATCAACACCTGGAAAGGGAACTTCGTCCCTCGCACATATTTGGGACGCTTTGGCCGCATTCACCTTCAAACCATTGATGAGTGAAGAGGGTAAGATCAGAAGTGAGCAATACAAGGCATAGTTAGCACGCACCTTCTCTAAAGGAAAAATGAATCACTGTTGGATTTGTGAACTAGCATATATTACGCATGGAGCACATACAAGACTCAAGTTGGCGGACATTCTAGAAAAACCACAACATTGTAAGCTGCAGTTACTGTTTTCTATGTAAGAGAAAATCTGATACTTCGCGGCGGCATTTTCAAGAAACCGACCAGCCAAAACACAAGTTGATTAAAAGACACACCTCTACTTGTTTCTGCATATGTGCGATTTCCATTTCTTGTGATGCAATGACAGCCAGCACTCTTCGGTCCATAAGTTCCTGATAGTGACGAACTTCCTGAGAAACATTTTTGCGATGCTTCGAGTGGTTAGACCGAAGACATTCTAGGCAATTTGTATGGTGTACAAGTACTCAGAGTGATCTGGCACGAGACTTGGTATCGATCTTTCATTTCTTTCTAATGGTGAACACCACACACTAGACTCTGGTTCCGTAGACAAATACAACCAAAAGTCAAGAAGAGACGAAGGCATGTTCAAAGGTGGCAATTTGGACTTACACTGGCAGCTTCGCTCATGTCTTCTTGAAGAGAGAGCAGATCTTGTTCGGCTGTACCGAGGGCTTCAAACTCACCTCTTGCTGAGTCTGAAGGTGTAACACAGTAAGCTTGCTGAAAGCTGATGTAAATAAGCTTGACCTGCTACTCAACGCTCATACATACTAATCACCAAGACGGATCTACATCACCGGAAATTCAATTCAAAACAATATTGCACTTACCCAAAAGTGCCTCAAGCTTTTCTTTTGCATCCTGACAACTCTGCTTTGCTTCGTCCCATTTGACATTTAACGTCGAAAATATGTCTTGCTTTCTCTCTATTTCTTCACGTATTTTCTATATACACAGGAGAACATCGATCCTTCAGACTCGTTACCCTGAAATTATAGTTTTCCGTGATGCAGCACCCAGTCTAAAACAGAAAAAAAGAACACATAACTTTGGCTACAACACAATGTGCAATTATAGACCACCAGGAGCCTGACACAAGATGCAAATGAACATGAATGGACACCGAAAATATATTTCATGAATGCATGAGTCACTATGGAAATGTTCAGTGACAATTATCTGAACAGCTTCAACATAGATAGCCCCAAAAAAAATTGCTTCGCATAGATATCTCAAGTTTTTCTATCCAAAAAAAATAATTTGTACTTTCTAAGTGGTACTTGACATGTGTTTTTTACTTTTGTCCTAAAGAACTTCGAACACAAGAAAAGGCATATTTACGACAGAATTGCTTCAAATAGTAGATTAAACTTGTCCAGTCTACTGACAAGCACTGTATAACTTAGTGGAAAATAAGACCAAGGTTGCTTACAATATCCGACCCAGAGATGGAAGACACTGAAATCTAGTAGTCTAATCACCAGAGTATCTACGACACCCATTGGGTTAGTACACCTGAGACAGCTGACGGAGACACCGAATGAGGACGATGCGAGAAGACAAAGCGGAGAGATGGACCCAGAAGGCCGAAAGAGGATGAAATTGGAAACGTATCAACACCAAAAGTCTAAATTATGCACGAATAAATAGCCATGAAGTTGTCCAGAATGAAACGTCTGGGCTATATATATGCACCTATCACAAAGTCAAGTAGCTCGGTACAAGAGTCTTTTCATCATTAGGTTTGTACCGATCAATATAAATTCCGGGCCTCCCAAACTAAAGTCATTGTAGAAAGACCTAGGTAACTGACCACAACCCCCCTTGCAGCAGCAAGGATGAAAGAGGCCCAACACGAAGGAAGCAGGAAGCAGACAGAGAGAGATTCTCCTCAACGATCTCTGACTTGATTCCTTCCCTATATGCGAGCATCGGGATGTATGAACCACAACAACGAACATCCAAGAGAAGAGACACACTATCCAACAATTATGGATTCTTCGCAGAATGAAGTAGGAAACCGAATGACCATAGAGGAAAGTGACATCTGTTAGTCAAACTAACAAGCCAATGTCCATACGCGGATATGAAACACAACACCATCACCGAGGTGTTGCGAGCCATATACGTAGTAACATGCGTAATATTATGGTGCCTGAAAACAGGATTCAGCTGGAAAACGGAAATCTCATACTTACATTCATTTCTTGCTCAAGCTCATCAACGTTGGCATCAACATTCTTCTCAAGTGCTTCCCTTTGTTTCATCTCCTGTAGCGTTAATTCCAGAGTCTTGACTTTTCTCTCGGTTCCGATTCGTCGTCTCTGATGGTATCAGCAGAACCCAAAAATAAGCGACACATAACATAGAACTTCCAGAACTTGAAACCCAATATACGATTAAATCATTTTTCAAATTCCAGATGAACATATCAAATTAATTTTAGCTTCTGAGCAGGAACCAAACGACGCGAATATACAGCTCACCTTATATTCTCCAGATTCTCTCGCCAATCTGCTATACTCCCCTTCTAATCTTCGTTTTCGAGTTTCTACGTGTTCAAGACTGCTTCTGAGTTCCTTCTCTTGCTCATGTGCCTCCTGAATCTGGTCACTCACTCTGACTCCTAGCCTTCCTCCGCGAATCCACCTTTCTTTCGGGAGGGTTGTTTCACCACCTGCTCTTGAATACCTGTACAGGAGATTGAACTGCTGTTAGATTTGGTTCTACGAGGACAAAGGTTCTAATGGACAGTTTGTCTCCAGTAGAACATGCACGGTTGATGAGTACAGACAGCCAACATACAAATATGATGGAGAAGTGGTTTCTTGGTATGGTCATTTACAGGGTTGGTGGGAAGATGTATGCTGACTCCGCTGACTTGAGGAGGGAGGTACTACAAGGAATACATCTATATTCCACGATGGTCCGGTCTGGCCCTCGCATAGCATGAAGACATTCACGAGAACAAATATAATATGTACGGAATTGTGCAGCCGAATATTTCTCTCAGCTAGATTACAAAAAGAAAACGAATTATGTATTTCACAAAGAATGATTCGTATGTACGCATAACTTTTCCTGCAGCGATCTCTTAAGTAGTGAAAACAAATCAGAGAAGAGAAAGAGTAAAACTTTGCGCAGAGCGTAAGAGTCGGAAGCATATGAAAAGGTTTAGGTGGAAGACAATTGACAGGCGGAGACGGAAAATGTGTACTCATTCTACGAACATCACCATCTAGGTTCGAGGACAAGCATAAGCATAAACATACAATCGTGTTCCGTCAATTGTGATGACCTCCTTGACGTTTTTAGAGCCACCACCAAAAGCTACAGATTTCGCTGATTCATAATCTTCAGCAAGCACAAGTCTCTCCACGCTTCCCTGCCAGTCACCAGCATTAATGGAAATACAGAACTAAGAGAATCAACAATGAAATATTGGACCTGAACTCCTTCGCAAAACCTGGAAACATGGAAGAAGCCTATGCTTGAAAACATATTCTGGACTAGGAGCATTGAGGTGGCTGGGTCAAACTCTGGAGTCAGTTTAACCTACAACAATTACCAGAGATTCCGAAGTTATGAAATCTCATTGCATGAAACCATGGTATTTAAACTTCCTTGGAAAGTGTGATAAAAACGAGGCGCTAAACAGTTAGGCAGCATGCAAAGAGGACGCAAAATATTTTGAACAAATACTTCTAAAGACGGGAGGCAACTAACCTGATCAATAAAAACATTCATGATTGTTGGATTTTCTGTTTGCAATGTAGTCATCACAGTTGCAAGGTTTGGATCTGGGAGTTGCTCATCTGTCGGCTTTAATCTGCATAAAATAGAATGAACGTGCTTCAGAGAGTTCTATGTGCATACAGGTGGGTGATTCCCAGTTACTATTAGAGACAACGATGAGAAAGTACAAAACGAAAACCACGAAGTCGTACATCAAACAGATGTCACATGAACATTTTGTAATGTCTCCTCCTGTTTTCTCCTCAAACATCTTGAGGTAGCGGAAGCACAGAGTGGAGTTAATAGAGCCAGCATGAAAGACCACTTACAGGTGACGGTCAAAGTCGTAGATACAAATGTTGAGATTGCGACAATTGGCCTGATTGGCCAGTCGCCTTAAAAGGAGCATATCCTTTTGGTTTGTGACAATGAATGAGTCCAATAAATTTCTTGTCGCAACTTCCACAGCCAACGACCATCTCTCGTCTATCAGGGTCTGGCATAGATATACAAAACAGGTGATAAGTATCCAAGGGCACATGTCCTTCTTCCCACAGCATAAAATATAATTTCCTGCATGGATTCATACAACATATAAACTGTCCTAGTCTGAGCAATTTTAAAGAAAATCCCACGAACTGGGTGCAGACTATGTTGCGGTTTGTACGGGCATATTATAGTATAGTATGTGCTAATGAAAGGTTACCACATGAGCACCAATCGGTCCCAAGGGTGGGCACGTGAACCTTCTGTTGTTCTCTTCTATGCGTCTCATCAAATTGAGTATATTGTTACCTCCAAAAGCTGTCATCTGCACGCACAGATTAATAATAGATTTAGATAACTCAATCCGATACAAGTATATCTTAAGTTGTGAAAAAACCTTACGGTTTGTTGCACACGAAGTAGGACCACGAAATTCAAAGTTTGGTAGCATGGTGTGAGCCTCCTTGTTTTCTAATTACTCTCTTCACAATGATGATTGTGACTAATTTATATCAGTAAAGTGGAAAGAAGAGCCCATGCCTGACCATGATAAGATCAAGGATTTGGTGTATACCACCTGTGAGAGTGTTACGTATGCCAAGCAACTACGATACCCAGCAGATCAGAGGAGCATTACTAGCTAGTACGAACTCTTAGAGATCTTACTACTTTACACAAAGCCTTGGAAAAAGAAAGTAGATTGAACCTGATTTCCTTGTCGAGATGAAAGCTCTCTGATGTACTTCTCCACATCTCTTATCTGGAGCACTTTCTCACGGCACTGCAAATACCTTCTCTTCAGATTATGTTCCTTGGACGACTTTTATTGAAAAACTCACGCGAACCAGCACAAATTCCAAAGCGTGATTCGTATCTTTTGTGTTCACGATGCACACCTACTGTACACTTTCGGAACAAACACTGTCAAAAGGATAGATGTTCTTCTATACAATTTTCTGTGTCCTACAATTACAATGGATTTACTGATAACGGAGATACCTCAACGTCGCATGCCAGAATCATTGCTCGCAACTTTTCCGCCTCAACAGTCAACCGTGATTCTTCCTCACCGAATCTGAAACATGATGATCCGTGTTGTAAAGAAACAATACAGATTAGAGACTGGCTCAACGTCCAGCCTATGGCAAAGAATATCAGTATCACATTCTAAGTCGGTGCTGCGTACTTAATATGACCTCGTAATCTGGAGGTTATGCGTCTTTAAGATGAAGGAAATCAGGAGAAGGATGCAGAAACAGAAACGGAAAGCCAATGTGAGGCAGGTCATCGCCACTAGACCTCGATGAAGACAACCATCAAGGACATGCATTGCAAGGTAGAAATCATATCACAACGTTGATGGTGGTGGAAAATGAGGCCTTTAATGATCGATCAACTTGACTGCACAATGACTAATTGTTGGCTTCCTTATAGGCAAGATAAGAATTCCTCTACTGTGCCTACGAGTTTTGGAATCATAAACAAATGGCGAAGACTTTTTAACCAGTAGGAGAGACAATATAATCTGCAAAGGTGTGACCGCCTGTGTGATACACAGAAGACAAGTAAGGTTTCCAGATAAAATGCGATTAGATTACTCAGTAGCTGGCAAATTTAAAACCCTAATTGGAACACGATCTTCCAAAGTTTTTCTTACCTTTGAACCTCTGCAGTTGCAGTAGCAATGGCATTTTCAACTTGCCGTATTTCTTGGAGTCTAACGTCTTCTTCGGCCTGGGTAGTGAAGAATTTTAGTTCTGTTAGATGTAGGACAATACTTTTACAAGGCTAATACCTGTACAGCAGCAGCATCATTATGTGCTTTTTCCTCATTTCAAGGTCGAAGAATCGATTGATGCAGCTGCCAAACCTGAAGCAAACTAGTGCTCAGAGCTCGAGGAAATTTCTAGTAACTTAATTGAGTGAAACAATTATCTACTAAAAGGTCAGTAAATTTCCATTAGGTCTATGAAAGCAGCAGTAGTAGAACGTAGCCTGAACAGTAGTTGGTTCTGAGATTACCCTTCCGAGGAAACACGAAGTAACAGAGAATGATAGAGAAGAACGATACGGAGGCATTTGAACTCAGACGAAGGAGGAGAGAAACTAAGATGCAGTTAGATGTCAGTTTCTCAAGTTACAAAGCGCAAGCACGCCTAGGACACAAGGGAACCCTGAATATCGAATTCGAAAGGACTTGTGGGCTTCATCTTAGTTGTCTGGAGAAGACAGAAGTGAAGATCTGCGAGTTGCAACCTCTCCATAGGGGCAATTTCCAGTGTTATTAAAGAAATGACCTGAGTATCTTCCAGAGCTCGCAGCTGCATTTCCTGGACATTCAGCTGAAGAGTATGTAATTGTTTTCCGAGCTGTTCAATGCTTCGTCGACAACGGTTTACATTTTCTTCCGCTTCAACTCTCTGTTTGGTGACCTGCAAACGAAGAGATACTGTGTCATCATTATATTCGAGTCATAACCTGAAGATCACAGAACCTGTGCATTTTAAGCAAAGAAAGAGCAAAAAGGAGAAATACTTGATTAAAGAAGCATCAGACGCTCGCTGTGAGATCTGGGGTAGTTAGGAGTTCGAGATAACCGCGTACCGAATGCAGATCACGCTTCAAACTTTCTTGGGTGTGTTTTAACTGTTGTGATTCAGTCATCATCCGATCAATTTCGGACCTCTTCGCTGAGTACAAATCCCCAATAGTGCTCACCTTTGCCTGAATCAGACACAATCAGAAAATTGAAACTGGAAACCATTAGTGTATGAGTAGAAACCAGTGCTGCAATCGATAGTCTTCAGTTTATGAGATATCAAACTACTGATTCGGGCAGGAAAACTAATCAGAGTGGTCACTCTGGATGCTTTTCCTGGTATTGTCCGCAGATTTTAACTTCTCTTGTTTTCCAGCTATTGTACAAGTACAGCGTCTATCTTGAATTGAAGAGAAGCTGGTAAAGATCCAGCTCTGCCAGTCTCGCTTAATTGATAGAATGCAACTGATGTATCTCTATCAGAACCCATTTACCAAGATGCGATTTTATACCTTTGCTTCGTCAATCTTCTTTTGACATTGAGGAATCCGCTTCTTGATTTTTTCCAGCTCCTCCTGCTTTGTAGTCATCTCCCTCTCAACTTCATAGACCCAAGACCAGGCAAGCTTCCTCTCAAGTTCCTCGATCTGTTCGTGTAACTGCTCCACCTGCTGCTTGTATTTGATCTGCTCCTCTACCTGCTTCAACTGATTTTGTAAAGGTTGGAGTGCTTGCAGAGATTCTTCGATGATCCCCCCTAGAACATTCTGTGCCTCTTCAGCTTGTACCAATTTTTCACTGACTGTCTGTTGTAAAGTTGCTTTGAAGAAGAACTGGCGAGCCATGAAGACACATGAGCATTAGAAAAAGATCACCTTCATACTAGAAGCAGAACCCTGAAAAATGGTCATCATGAAAATACTTCATTTGAAAAGATCTTGAAATCGGTGTTTGTGTTTGGCAGATAGATCATACCATAAACTTATCTTTTTCGGAGCCGGCGTGGAGGAACTCTCGACTCTTATCTTGAGTCATCAAAATGCAAGGGTTTTCCACATCTATCTGAAAACGGATGACCAGAATATCAGTTCGCTTACTTTGAGTTCACAGCTTGCATCCAAGAAAACATGTTCGCGTACACGCAGGCATTTGACAAATTGACTTTACAAAACTATGTACGTGAAAGCTCAGAGTCGTGGGAACATTCCTAAGATACTAATCGCCACCACAACATTTCTGTCTTCTTCCATGCAAGTCGTAGCAAAACTTTGAATTTTTACAAAAGTCCAAATTGCATGAGTATTGAAAAATGGCCATCTTACATTAAAGTGTTCTACTATGTCCAAAACATCAGACTTTTTGGAGCCGACTTTTTTCCCTGTGTCACAAGCAACGAGGTCAATGACAAATGATTGTTTCCAATCTACTACAACATCAAGCCCTCTTCCAGTCAATCGGATAAAGTGTTCAGAACTGATAAACAGTGAACCTGGTGTAAAAACACAAGACAACAACTGAATTGCATGAATAATTGCCTTACCTTGAGCGCCACTCACTTGAAAGTGGCTACCGTTTTCGGTAATTCGTCTTTCGATCATGATTGTGTCGCCGTATACATCGGGCTTATATGCATCCAAACCTTCATTGTTGAGCTCTACAACGACTGATGCGGTCCTGCAAAGAAATAAGGAGCCTCAAAAATAGTATCTACAATCTCGACAACTTTTTCAGATTAAAACTAAGTCATGTAGTTTTCAGTCACTCTCGTTTCTGAGATCCAGACACAGACAAAGTACTCATATGTTGAAAGCCCTTTCTATTTTCTAAGAAGAAGAAAGAACTCTTCTATTCAAGATTTCAAGTACGAGCTGCACGGTTTCTGAAGGAGAACAATCAGAATAGTCTTGGATATACTTTTACGCACTTTTACATCTTAATATTAATTTCAAGCCTGGTTGTTTCTTTCACAGTCACATAATCCTTAAGAGGTTGTGGTGGGCCTTACACTCCATTCACTCTTTTAACATACAACCATGATAGCTTCCTCGACACGTTCTTCACTGCTGCGGAGCTACTAATAAAATTGAGGTAATGATAAGCATATAGATTGTGAAACTGTGGAATGAGATGTTGAAAAGTCATTACCGGCAACCATTCTTCACGAAGTCTTTGATTGAGTTCGCTCGTTGTGTACCTTTAGCTTTGATTCCAAATGCCACTAAGATCGCAGTAAGGATCGCACTTTTGCCACCTGCGAAGCACAACCCATACGGAGGAAAAGCAGATTGAAAATCCATGACTTTTCATCACCTGATGATACCAATTTATTCGAACATGGTTGAAATCAAGAGATAGGTGTGAACAACGTAAAACTTACTCCCATTTTGGCCGGTTATAAAATTCACTCGATCTATGAAATCTATAGAGAGGTTACTGTGACACATGAAATTCTCGACGCGGATCCTCCGAATTGTGCCTGCTCTTATATATTGTGCACTACAGCTGTCGAAGTCAGCATATCCTGTATCGTCTTCTCCTCGATCTGCATGCTCCATGTATAATTCTTCTTCCTCTGCCCCATCCATGACTACACCCAACTGCTTCTCACGGTTTCAGAATTCCCCAGGTGGGTGGGGGCAGTCCGCAGAGCTGGCCAGACCAAGCCTCTACATAGCCTGATTCAGGGTAACAAGTCCATCACTTCATCGCTTCTGATTCAGGGATTTCCAATCTTCTATAAGTCCACGTGGATTTGAAAACAGTTAACGATCGAAGCCACACTTGTGGCATGCCAAGCACGTAAATTCGTTACCTTCGTTACCTGTATCTCAGCAAAGGACAGAGAGGGCTCCCTGTCTGACTAGTTTCCGTTTTATTCCCCAACATAAATCTGACGTCGAGAGAAACTGGCAATACGTAGGCTAGTAAACAAACAGAACGAGTAAAGCAAAATCGAAATTGACCTCAGTTAGAAATTCGTGATTACGCTCATATCACACACGCGCATCCTCACGATCCGACACCTCGCACCCCCCAGAAAATCACACGGCAAAGTCCGTCCTTTCCGACATCTGAAACTCCCAAATTTCAGAGTATACAAATCCAGAAATCACCAACGCGACCAAGTCTCAGTTCACAGGGCTGATGCAGCATGTTCAATTTATCAATAATTCATTCCGCCGGCGTCCACAGTCGGAAGACATGTCACAAATGATCGCTCAGAGGACACATATCACTAGCGAAAGCAAGATTGTTCAACCAGCAAGGCTGAGGAAAACATCACAGCAGCGTTGGCAGGGACCGAAGAAGAAGAAGCAGAAGCAGTAGGACCTTCGAATTCAAAACTAGAGATGAAGCAGCGCCTGCGAGCCCGGAGGAAAGAAAAGGCGGGAGACAGAACGAAGGTGCCTAGCGTTCGTCCGCTGTGCTGCGTGTCTCATACGTATGTCATGTTTCCGTCAGCCACAATCACAATCCCTCCATGGCAGCATGGCTTTGTTGTGCCCCGTGTCCGGTCTCGACCAAGTCGGCGGTGACTGCTGGTGCCGGTCGTCATTGACAGTGACTGCTTCGAGAGTGGCACCATGCTTGGAACCGATAGTTACAGAGTTATTTCCATTCCAATATTTCCACGCCTTCCAAAGTTGCTTTTATTTCTACTGCATCTTGCGTCACCGTTCGCGAACCTTAAAAAAAAAAACAAAAATATAAAATTGAACTGTATGATTATCGCACTTATCCGGCATGTGTCACATTTACCATTCCAGTCACATCGACTTTCTCTTTCAGTAGAACACGTCAATGAGACAAGCATACTCCACGATCATGCAAACAATATATGGTAAAATTTCCATCGAAAATATGTCAATGTGACATCAGGATGTCCGGTTAGTGTAACGATTTAATCGGTCGTCATATATATGTCGTTATAAATCATCTTGCGCGCAATGATAGCGAACCTATTTCTTGGGATATATCATCACACACCTTTACACAACGAGCCAGTTTATATTCGAGCCAAAAGTCTACGTTACTGATGATAAATATGTTAAGAAGTTCGAGTTGAACGAAATCTGAGGAAAGAGAAACATACAAAGGTGTTATTGGAATCTGCTCTATAGTTTGATCACAAAATTAAAATAGGAATTTGACTCCAATTTTAGATAACTTTCATAACACTAATAGTCGAATTCCAATCTAGTCCAATACCAGCATTTTATTTGATCCGCCAATGGCATAATAAGTGAAGTATAACAAATTTGTCAGGAAGATTTACTGCTGATTACCTCAAATAATATATCAATAATCTCATGCAATTAGAATTTAGATAACTTAAGAGATCATTAAAAAAAAATTGTAATTGACATGTTTATATAGCCAACAAAAATTATTTAAAACATTATCATACCTTGTATTTTTAACACGTTTTGTTTATATTTAAAAGAAGTACATCAACTGAAATCTATAAATTGAAGCAATGTATTTCATTATTGATTATTGAGAGTACATCTCAAAAATTTATCATAATCTGTATATTTTCTTCATATGCAATTACAAACAAAGTGCACGAATCTAGACTCAGATGAAAATCATATAAAATTTAGGAAGTGGCTAGTTATCAATCACTTTTTGGCTAATAAGACCTCACCCTACCATACGCTTCTATGTGATTAATCAATGCAAGGTTATAGAATGAATCATATCGACTTCTAAAATAAGAAATTTTTCCTAAGTTGGCGGTTTTTTTTTTAAAATCCTGCATCAAAACTGCCTCCCTAACTCAATTCTCAGAAAGAACTAAATTTGGTAGAGATCCTTAGAAGCAAACGTGCTTCTACTATGACTTCATTTTGAAACAAGAAACTACGATATCAAGAGACTAGTATGTGACCGTCAAGGAAGATTGCCATCATGAAGTAGGCAACAATTTGTTGATGTCATCATCAGAATTGGATCATGAAACTTCTGGTCTGGATGCAAGCATTGAACATGATACATCGATGATCTAGCCTTTTGTAATGGGTGATAATGAAATGGGATTTGGTCTCGAACAGGGCTACCATCCTAGTCCAATTGTCATAAGGATTTGAACTGAACATAGTTAAATTTCAACAATGTTTGTAAGAAAGCAGTGTGCTTGTTAGCTTCAATCTCCTCCAATCGATGTGAGAAGATGTAGAGCGAGCTAAAATAAATGTTCAATAAATGTTACAAGATTATGTCCTTGTCGCTATGCATAACTTTGAATGAAGATGTTCACTGTATTTTGGCCACACAAGATTGAACTACTTCGGAAAGAATGTTGCCTTGATTGCATCCAAAGTAACTCCACAAGCATACTAACTCAAATCATCAAACCATACATCTTTGCGTTGTCCCAGCAAACATCTACACCTTATATCATTATCTCTGCAAACAACGCAATCTTACCACTATGTGAAGGTGCAATTTGTGCCAAAACAAAATATGAAACTTTTTATTTTGAACTATCAAAATTGCACTTACTCTGCAAAGCTCAGTGATATCCAATACTTATAGACTATTATATGAAACCATACATTATATGAGAACATGGACGAGAATATGGTGAAGATTACTCATGCAGTTTCTTTGGTTAAAATGAATCTTGTTGGATTGCATCAAGTACTTTGCATTTTGTAGAAATTGCAAATAATCATATTGTTAGTGTGTGAGATTAAACAATCTTGAAGTACTTAAAATTGCAATATTGTGAGACTCTTTGAAAAATTTAGTCTTTGTTATTAGTTTTAGATTGAATGTACTATGAATTAACAAGTGTTGGAGATTTTGTGATCATATTTGAAAATACTCTCTAAATGTTATCTAGTTTGTTATCCTTGTGCTTACTGTGAAATGAAGCTCAATTTGCTAGCTCTTTTTAATTATTTCAATAGCCAAAAGGATGGGCTAATACTATATTTTTTCCTCCTTCTCACAATGCAATAAATAGATTTTTTGCCAAAGTTGTATAACACAAAATTATGATCAAGTTTGTGACGAGTACACAGATTTATTACTTGCACCATACAAGCTTGTTGTATTTCTCAAATGTATGTTCTTGTGAATTAAACTTATTAGTCATCTTACTGCTAGAGATGATGACACTCTCTAAAATTCAATTGTAAATCTGCATGCTATATTTACGTGAATTTTAGAGTCACTCCTTGAGTTTCTTTATACGTTTAAGTATTTGAGATGCACATAACTTCAATTTTTGTGACTTGGGCATATGAAAGAGCCAAAATTGGATGTTCGTTTTAGATTAAGAAAAACTAAAATTTGAACTTTTGAGGTTTAAAATCTAAATCCTTTAATGATGAAAAGTATATGAAATCTAGTATATATATCAACTTAAAACACGTTCACAATGAAAAAAAATTAGCTTTGAATATGAGTAACAATAAAAATATTTTTCAAGAGATTTTTTAGTGTGCTCTCAAAGAAATATTTTATAATTGATTGAAATGTCATAGCATTGTTGTTGTTACATATTGATTTTTTCTTTGTGCCAATTTCACATCTACTTTCATAATATAAAAATATAGTTGATTCTGCAATTCAGTACTTTCAAAAATTAAACAAATATGTACGTTCTCAAGCATTTAATTTCACCAATATCTAATTATGTACTTCTTTTTTATTTATGAAGTAAAATTTAGCTGGGGAAGTTGAACGAGTCCACATATTACAAAATAAAATTACAAAGCTCTATCACCATTCTTGTTTCATAACATACAAATACATTTAATTATGCAATTCCTCACTTTCACAAATTAAACAAATATGTAAGTTCTGAAGAATTTAATCTTGTCATCATCTCATTATGGAATTCTCTTTGATTTATGGAGTAAACTCTATCACGATCTTGACAAGATATTGATTTCATCGAGATCTTGCTAAAGTTTCACAATGCTTTACTCCGTCGCTGGAATTTTAAACCCGATTTCTTGGATGGAACACTATCCACTTAATCAACTAGAGCACAATTGATGATGTTCATGAAATGAAAGATTATAGCATTGTTACACATCAGTTGCAAAACATGGATTCATTTGATTTCTTCATTATTGACTTCTTGAAATTGAAGATATATGTAGGCTCTCAAAACTTTACTTCTTACAAGATATAATTATGAAATTCAGCATGTGTATGCATGCTTAGTTCTGATCACTTTGAAGCATTTAGCACTTGCATCCATTAATTATTTATATTTTACAAAATGACGATATTGTAATATTGAAATTTTTACTCTTAGATGAATCAATTCACTATATATATATATATATATATATACACACACACGTGGTAAAAATTAATAATTTGTTATTAATAACACAAAATGTTTGAATTATTTATTCAAAAAATAATCCTCAGAAAAAACTGAAAGTTTTACATTTTTCATAATTCATGACTAGCAAATATTCTTATAAAATGTTTGAAATTAGCAATTAAACTCAGATCATTGAATGAAAATTGGGATTTTTAAGGAAAAAAATTATTATTTTCATTGAATTGGTAATTTTAACATAAACATATTATTTTACTTTTGAAGCGAAAATTAATTGAAAACTACATATATTTTCATTTTTGTTATTAATGATATAAAATATATATTAGATACAACCGTAATTATATTTTGTAATTGTTGATCATTAATCAAACTGTAGATATAAATAAATCAATCAATAAATCACTCATTTACGATAAAAAATTGTTTTTAAATTTCTTATTTAATTTAGAAAATCTACATTATCCAAAATAAACACATCCATAGAACAAAAAAAAAAACGATAAAATAAAACTCAGGATTTGCATGTATTTTAATAATCATATATTCTGAAGTATATATATATTTCTAAATAACTCTATTTTTAATTGTAAATTAAAATAAAGAGATTGTAGAAAATTCAAGTCTTGTCAGCAAGATTTGATTCCGATTCAAGTAAGAACAAATCTAAAAACAATATCATGAATTTTGCATACAAGGTGTAGTCAGAAATCATAGTATATGTATTACGCTTTGCTGGGATTTCTTCCCGGTTGTACAAGATTCCTTCACAGGATACAGCTCTCAAGTCTACACGTCACAAACGGGATCCACAGCAAAGGCTGTTTAATATGGGTTTGTCAACTCCGCCGAGCTCAATGACGCTGAGTAAAGCATTTAAAACATTTGGCCCTTTGTCATTTCCTTCTAAATTAAATTGTACAATATTTTCTCTCAATTCTTTGCGTGCCGATGATAACCTCGTGGAGACTTTCTGATCTTATCCTGATACGAATTTAGTGAATTTAGTGATTTGAATAGTATTGGCTTTTAAAATATGCTAGTTGAATCAACTTCAAGTAAAGTTTTGACTTTTGCAAAGAGTGGTATATTGAAGCGTCATGTCATATGAAAATTAAATATGTAAATTTTCTTAAGAATAATATCAGTAATAAAGAATGTTTTTGAAAAATCTACAGAGACAAAGTTTGTTATGAAATTGAAGCATAAATTATTTTAACCATATTGAGTCTTTTTAGAATTAAAAATTTATATGTTGTGAAAAAATTATTTTTTTACATGGGAAAGTGCATCTTAGTTTTGAATTTCTGAAGCGAGACAAATGACGGAAAAAAAAACTTTTTTTTTTCCTTGCATAAGTAACAACATTATTTAATCCTTAGTGGGCACGAATTGTATAGTCACTGGTCAGACATATTGACGATATCTCCATGGATGAGGGATAGATAGAGAAACAAGGATAGAAACTACTCGGATGGCTCTCACCATTTCGGAGGCGATGAAAAAATCCTCTAATTGCAGAGCTTTCTTGGCGTTTGCAGGCGTCGGGTATCTTGCGGTATGAAGATGATTGATCAACATTTCAATGTTGGCGATGAAACCGCAAAAGTTTCGGCTTCAATCTATCACCTAAATTGTCACATAGTATTCTAAAATGGTGATTTACAAAATTGTATGAGAAGAATACCAAAAGGAAATGTTAATCGCTTCGAGTGGCCTTTTAGACCACCAACGCATCCACAGTCTCATACACTGGTATGTAAAAGAGCTCATAGTGGTAGAATCCGAAGAGCTCATTCTATGTTTTACATGGTCGATTACATGAGAATCTACAAAAATTTAAAGGGAGAAGCCGAGCATGCAGAACTGCAGAAAGGACTTGGTTTTTAGCGTAGAGAAAGGACCGAAAGAATCAGTACACTGCATCTCTTCATAAAACTTGTTGGCATAACAACGTGCTAGAAGTGCACATATATCGAATATAATCACTACACTTCTCCTGGTATCCATTATGCAGAGAAGCAGCTGAACTTCACACCGATTTCGAACATCGCATAAGAGATGGCGATAAGAGGAACTACATCTGCTCCTCTCGGTGATGGTAAAAAGCAGCGAAATTTCAGCTGCTCTTGTTCCAACATGTGATCAAGCCAAATCTACAGCCGTACGCAGCAAAGCACAGTATGCCGATGACCGTCGTAAGAGTGATTCTTGACGTCGCCAGAAGAAGTTGTTTCCGAACCCAAATTTACATCGACCATGATTAACTGAAGGGGGATCTCCCCTGTGTCCGGCCTGAAGCCACAGGTCCCGCTTCTAAGATTGTGACCATTACTTCTCCTCGCCCCGCAAGCAGCCCCAACGAGGACACGTAGCTTCAGGGCCACGTGGCTCTCGCCGAAGCCCCCCTGCACTCTGCCGGCAAGTGCTTCTGCGTTGTTCGGGATATCGACCTCCCGCTGCCGTGGCCCTGGCATGCCGAGGCCGCAGTCCACCCGTCGCGGAGTCAGTCGCCGGCACTTTGCTCGCCTGCGAATGGGCTGACTTTCAGACGCCGGGGCCACGCCCTCCGGGAGCCGGCGCCCACAGCGGTCCTGGCCACGCTGCGCGATGTCACATTATCCTCGCAGCCGCTCCAAAAGCTCGATAGCACTGGAACTCGTCGACCATTCTCTTGCGGAGCAGACGAAGGCCGCTGGGAGAAGGACGAGAACCGAGAGGAGCGACGAGAGCAGCGCAGCGCCATGGCGAGCGCGGTGGTGGCTTTCCATGGGCAGCAGCTGGCGGGATTGAAGGCGAATCGCACCGCGAGGGTGGAATCGATGCGGTCCGCGGCGCTCTCCTGCGCTGCAGCACCCGTGGGCTTGCCCAGTTTGAAGAGCGGGGTCAGGATGAGTTCGGAGTGGATGAGCGGAGGTGCTGCCCTGAATCTTCTTTCGACGAGTCGCGGAGCGGCTCTGAGAATGAGTGATAAGAGAAGGGTTGGCGGCAAGACGCTCGGCGTCAGGTGCAGCGCCTCGGGTTCTTCCACTGCCCGGCCAGCCTCGCAGCCCCGGTTCATTCAGCACAAGCAAGAAGCATTTTGGTTCTACAGGTTTCTGTCGATCGTCTACGATCACGTCATCAATCCTGGTCACTGGACTGAGGACATGAGAGAGGATGCCTTGGAGCCTGCAGATTTGAATGACCCGAATCTGGTTGTTGTAGATGTCGGTGGCGGTACCGGATTCACTACTCTCGGCATCGTCAAGACCGTAGACGCAAAGAATGTCACCATCTTAGACCAGTCTCCCCACCAGCTTGCCAAGGCGAAAGAGAAAGAGCCTTTGAAGGAATGCACTATCGTTGAGGGTGATGCCGAGGATTTGCCTTTTGCCACGGATTACGCTGACCGATACGTGTCTGCTGGAAGGTACTGTGAAGCCCGAAATCACTCTCGTTTCATTCAAGCCCTCTGCAGTGCTATCTTTTTATTCTTCCTTTCATGAAGTATGACCTTTGTTAATGAAAGCTTTCGGTGAACGTTGTCCGTAATCTGGAATCATAGGCTGTGAGTATTGCGTTGTCTCTCCCATTCGTGTTCAATTCTTCTCTTCTCACATATCTTCATTTTGTGTCGTTTGTATCTGTTTACCTCTGTCGTTTCGAGCCCTGTGGTTTATTTTATGGTGGCATTTCAACGAATTTTGACTATTTTGACAGTATGTAAATATATGAGAAACAATATAAGTTTTTCAGTAAATCAAGTTGTAAAACTAGTCCGCTGTAAGATCCCTCCTTGTGAGATCGACCGCTTTAGGAAGGAATGTGCAGTGTTAATCATCTACTTTTTGCATTCTAAGTGCGTGCATCTTTTTTGTTCCCAGTGGTATATTTCGATCTCCTCGATTCTTACTGACTCTTTCGTCGGTACGTATACACTAGAACGAGAAAAGTGGTTATCAACTTGCATTTGCTTTTATTAACAAAGAAATGGTACGAACCTTTTGTCTTGCTTTTGCAGTATTGAGTACTGGCCCGATCCTCAACGCGGAATTAAGGAAGCTTATAGAGTAATCAAGCCAGGCGGCAAGGCCTGTCTGATTGGTCCAGTTCATCCCACTCACTGGCTCTCTAGGTTCTTTGCCGACGTCTGGATGCTCTTCCCAACAGAGGAGGAGTATATGGACTGGTTCACCAAAGCTGGCTTCTCTGATGTAAAGATCAAGCGAATTGGGCCTAAGTGGTACAGAGGTGTCAGAAGGCATGGTCTGATTATGGGATGTTCAGTTACTGGTGTGAAGACCGAGGCTGGTGACTCACCCCTCCAGGTAAACATGCGCCATTTAAGTGCGTTTTTTATGGGTTTTCCTCTTATTGCAACATCCGCCTGTCTCTCTTTCATGAGGTGAGTGTTTAGGCTGCATTGAGGGTTAAATTTTCCTGTTTCAAGCTCCTTTCTCAAGCCTACTATTTCTTCTGTTCTGATGCAGATGGGCCCGAAGGCGGAGGACACTCGAGCTCCATCGAACCCCTTCGTGTTCGCCTACAGGTTCCTCATTGGAACTATTGCCTCCATGTACTATGTGCTCGTACCGATCTACATGTGGCTGAAAGATCTTGTGACACCGAAGGGTCAACCCATCTAAATCAGCCAAGCGCTGGCACTATGACGTGCACAGGCATTAATTCCCTCTACCAGTAGATCAAGGGATGAAAACTGACAGTCCCATTTGAACGGAAAGATTGGATGTGAACATCAGGCAAAGTTGGTGAGCAACTGGAAGAAGCCACCAAGATTCTGTACTTTATAGGATATAAAATTTGATGTCTTAGGAGCCTCCACTTCACCTAAGGTGGTCTGTAGAGAATGACAACGACTTACATTTGTAGCATGTTCTCCCTGTTGGGAGTCTGTATTTAGTCTCTAGAACTTTTCGTTGAGGTATACCGGGAGAATGCATGTTGGTCTTTTTTCCTCGGCTGATTAGTGAGATAGAGATTTTTCTCGGCTAATTGGTGATCGATACATTCTTGGATATTCGAACCAAACCCACATTTATGAGTGCAATGAAGTGCCTTCATGTATCTTATATCAGTCTGACCCAGTGCCGCGTGCACACTTGCTACTCCCGAGCATAGAGAGAAGCATCTATTGCGAGAAGCTCGCATGTATTAGTGTTACTCGTCTCGAGTTCATACTCGTACGGTCTTGTCTTGTCTTGTCACTTACAGTTGACTCTCCGTGTTCGATCTTCTATTTTCGGGTCTATGTACTTACAAGTGGTCAGTCAAAGAATTTTCTGAAATGCCCTGCTTACGTATATGCTGTCGAAAATGTGTCCATTGTACGTGACAAGTTTAGTACCTCGCATGCCATGAATTTATGCATAGGCAGCATGTAGTATTCCGCAGAATTCCGCAGTACGAATACTGCGGAAGGTTTCGTCCATTAGTTGGACTCGTCAAATTATAGTTTTTAATGCAGGTTGCTTATGAGTTGGGGATTAGTAAAGCTTAGTTCTGTTTAGTGTAGGACTGTTTTACAAAAAAACTAAAGTGTGATTGGTAAAATGGACCAATGGAAGAGGTAATTGATCATGAACTCGTTTCATCACGATAAAGATAAATCGAATTAATAAGGCAGTTAAATAAACTCCTGGAGTAACCCCAATTAGGATATGTTCAAAAATATGAAGTGAAAACCATGTAAGGACGAAGTATAGTGTGATAATTGGGGAAGGATAAAATGCGATATATATTGTGTCGAATCATTCACACATAAATTACCGATTAATACGCCGAGCAGGGTAGAACCTGACCCGTCTATCAACAGGCAGTAACTATTTATAGTTGAAACATGAATTTCCTGTAACTGGCTTCGCAAGGCATATTACTTCAACGAATACAGAAATCTCCACTTCCGAGAAAGACGGTTTTGGGAAAAGCAGTTGTTTGCAATTTGACAGCTTCCGAGCCGGTTTAATTGGTGTTTATTGCGTGAAAGTTTACATTATTCTATTTTCAAATTGAATCTATAGAGTGAATGTGAGATGGAGTATTCTATTCTTCCATTCTTTGAGATATTTAGTTGGTGAAACCCATCTGAACCTTAACTGCTTGATAGTACCGTTTTATTTTACCGGATGGGCCCCACCGACGTCATAGCGTCGTGAGCGTATACAAGGTGTTCTTGTACACTTCAGTGAATCTTTGCTGTTACAAATTGCACAACGATTTACTTCGACAGACATTGTCACAAACGCATAGAGGTTTTGGGTTTTGAGCTGTCAGAAATTCCACTCGGTCAGTAGCAACGGGCGTGTGGAATCTGTGGAGCAAATTCTCAGGGAGAGAAGTCAGGTAATTTTACCAATTTTGGTGCCATGGGGAAGTGTCGGACGAAGAAATATCCGGGTCTGATTGGATTGAATGGAGATCTGAGCGACACAATGATGGACGACGAGGACAGTTTCGCTGTCAAAGTTCCATTGTTTGTATCGTATGTTGATACAAGAACATACGCGACATGTACCTTTGGTGGGGTACCATTGGATAGATTGAAACTTAAAGGGTGCAAGTAACCAATTTAGGTTCCAATGGATCCGATCAACTAAATATCTCTCCATTCGTTAGACTTTGTGCGAATCAGAGTTATGTAAAATTACTATAGGAAAAAATGAAAGCCATAATGAGTAAACTAAGCTTGAACTTGAATTAAACCTGGAGCTTAAATCAATGTCGATCAATACATGATTTAAGTGAAGTTGAGCGTGATTTAAAATACTAGCCACTCACATACCCTTCTTTCATTTGCAAAGATAACATATCTACACTGTCTAAATACTCCCACTCCATGAGACAATGTGCAAAAAAATTGGATTTAATCACATGATATGAAACAAATTTCCTTTTCTAAAATTGAGTTTTTTTTATTACAAAGTTGAATTGTTCATGTTGCACAACATATTCTGACATTTAATTGATGTAAAAACTAATGGAAGAGTTATGTAAATATAGTGTAGAGTTGATATCATTACATAAGTTATGATCAGTGTTATGAAGCTGAAGAGAAATTAAGTATTGTTTATACCATTTATTTAATATCATTCAATTTAGTATTAAAACATGTTTGCATTAGTTTGATCTGAAATCATATGAAAAGATCACAAATAAATAAATAATTAAATGATATATCAACACATTAATTTGAAATTTGGAATCATTTTATTATAATTTAAATTAAAAATATATAACATATTCATTTTTTTAATATCTTTACTATCATTTTTGACAATGATTGATTTTAATTATAATGTTATCACTAGATTTTTTATACACACATACACAGCTATCAACATTATTTCTAGTGAAAACAAGTTATGTGATAAATACCATGATGGTTTTTGAAGTGTCATAAATAGATACTTTAAAATGTGTCAGATTATCTTGTGTGAGTACTTGTTTCATCAATGAAAAGTTTGGATTTGCAAAGTATTTTGAAATGTAAATGAGAAGTGTAATGAATGAATAGATTGCATAACAGATGTACAAACATGGATATGAAGATGAAATTTCAACCTTCAAAAATCATGATGAAGTATCAAAATATTATATGAGTTAAATTTTAATGAAAGTTAGCTTAGAGATCACAACACATGATTGATGCGGGATATTTTCATGAATAGAATGAAGTGTTTGTAGACCAAACAAGTGACAATCTTGAAAATTTAAATACAAGATAAAAACTATGAAGTCTTTGAAAAATAAATTTGATATAGATAAAAGAAAATAGATGTGATGAATATTTGTTTAACAAAATCCATTCAAAATCAAATTGCATTTTATAAATTTGGGCAAGATACTTAGATCTAATTTTTTCACCTTCAATCACAATTAGAAATATGTTTAAAAGCACATTATGGATATTATTATATTAAAATTATAACTTGATTTTGAATCATGAGAGCAAAAATATAATACTCATGAGCTTACAAAAAATTGTCACAATTGAAAGTAGGGATGGGCACGTAGTCGGCTAACTTTCGACTAGCCGTCTGCTAATTGGCTATCGGATGAAAATGCAATCAACCGAAATATTTGGTCAAAGTGAATGTTTATTGGATACTTTTGGCTGAATCTGAAGAAATAATCAACCAAAAACGTAAATTTGGGACGAATTTACGTTTTTGGCCCCGGATAGAGATGGCAATATTTATCGGCGAGCCACACGCTATTCGGCTAGCCAGCTAACAAAAAATATTAGCCGACTAGCTATTAGCCAAGCCGTGCCCATCTATAGTTGAAAGGTATGATTTACAATAAAATTAACTATCCAAGAATGCTCTAATTTGACTGATATGAGCATTTATCCAATCTTTTAATAATAAATATGAATAAAATTAACATCCACAACAATTTTTTTGAAGATTTTTGGAAAAAATGTTTGCATGAGACAATTGGCTTCAAAAAGATTGATGAACAAAATTTAATATGTAGATTGTTGAATTCATCAGATTGATTGAAACAAAAATATAGTTAATTAAAACAAGATTCATGACATATTTTTCATTATCTACAAAAATTGAATGAGATTTTTACATGAAGTCTAAAATTGCAACTTCATTACCATTTTGAAAATTATGTGAATTTTTTTATAGCAAAATAATTAGTTTTTTTAAATAAAACAATGTTAAAAAAATAATACTTAATTCTATCTCATTTTTTCTAAAAAATGCAGATTTTTTTGCACGATATATAAAAATTAAATTAAATTGAAAAATATATAAAATTTAAAAATAATATATATATTATATTTTTATTTAAACATACTATTAAAAAATCTTTGTTCCATAATTTTATCATAATCATTCTAAGATGAAGATAATTTATTTAGTTCTATGTTATTTTTATTTAGTGTAGAATTAAAATGTAATCTTTCATAAAGGAAAAATTTATTTTAATTATTTTGGATTTCTTTTATTCTTATATAAAAAATACATAAATATTGATAGCACTTAACTCAGAACCAAAAATAGTAAAACACAGAAATGAAGGTAAAAACACCAAGGATATTAAACAAGTCAGCAAAACAAATGCATACAAAATACACTATGATTTAACATGATTGACCATAGAGTGCTACATCCACTACCATGGAATACAATGCGTATAGCTTGATAAGAAGAGTAGTTGAATATAGTGAAACTCTTAGCTTAGTTACTGCAAGTTGGTTAAAAGATAGCTACATTTTTCTAGCAAGAGTTTAACCCAAAACACATGAGTTAACCTCAACAATCTTTCCCTTTTTTCCAATTGCGAGAATAGTAAACTCTGTATTCTATATTATTCTTTCGCAAGAAGTTATAGTTATAGAAAGAAATAATGAGTTAAACTCATCAAATATTAGTTATCATTACATAATCTTAAATGGGAGGGGCTAGTTATCCATCACTTAAGGCTAATTAGACCTCATCCTAGTATATGATACGCGTGACGTGGCTCACGCTTGCCACGTCAAACAATTTCACCCATCACTCATACTTTGATGTAGAGCTAGATGCATGTTAAAGAAGATACAGTTTCTGAGAGGCCTTGGATTCACAAGAGAATTTTACGGCAAACGTTTTGTAATAAAGAGGTGAGTCATTTTGAAGATTTTTTCTCGGCATATGAACTTGAGCACAAACCACCGAAAGTTTCGGTGTAAAGCTGTAATGGAAATCACAATATTCTGAAATTCGGACACTTCAATTTTGAAACAAGTTGATGATATGGACAAATTCAATAAACTTCAAATTGTAATCACCTTTACATTGATTTTCCATGAATCGAGCAAGCAGCTTCCAAAACGATACCGGTCTAGCAGTGCCGCGACACATACACGCCTGCGATAGGACTGATGTCACATTCGCCGAGTTCAATGATTTCGCAAGCTCAACTCTTTCTAGTTCTGGAGTTTGTTCAAAATTTAGAATATCCTGATTTCCATTACTACTTTACACCAAAATTTTTGGTGGTATGTGGTCAAGTTCGTATGCTCACGAACAATCTTGGAAATGACTCATCTCTTAACTACAAAATGTTTACCGTAAGATACTCTTATGGATTCATGGCTTTTCATGTTACGGTATCTTATTTAACATGCATCTAA